TCTTAGCCTTTCGCTTCGTGAAATTGAGCTTAGATGTTACACAAATAAGAAGCAACCCTGACTCAATGTTTTTATATACAAGCCCGGGCGCGGCCTCCTTAATGTGAGCATCAGAAGCTTCTCTTTGTGCTTCAGCCAAGGAGGCCATAGACCTTGTACCGGACTTCTGCCGGACATGTGCCACACTGTTGCCGCACTTGTACCATGCTCCATCACACTCAAACAATGCTCAAACCAAATATGTTTATGCATTATAACTATATGTATAGCGCCGGACTGAAACTTAGAATGCCTCGAAAATCCTCACATCTTTATCCTCAGGCTTGGAATGCCTACGCGGGAACAAACCTGTGGGGTAGACTTAGAATGGGTCAAAGGTGTCACTGGCAAGCGTATATTATTGGTTCATAACCTGCACACATATGGTGCTGGTGGTGGTGGTGGTGGTGGTGGTGGTGGTGGTGGGGGCGGCGGCGGCGGTGGTGGGGGCGGCGGCAGTGGTGGCAGTGGTGGCAGTGGTGGCAGTGGTAGTAGTAGCAGTAGTAGTAGTAGTGGCAGGAGCAGCAGCAGCAGCAGCAGCAGCAGGAGGAGGAGGAGGAGTAGCAGTAGTAGTAGTAGTAGTAGTAGTAGGAGCGGCGGCGGCGGCGGCGTTGTCGTCAGTAGCACTGTCATTCTAAGCCTCATCACCTGCACATATATATATAATATGTATAATTATACAAATATGCTTTCCGGACTGGAACTTTGGAAAATTGCATTCTAAGCCTAGGGGCATTTCTCACGTAACATTCTAACAATGGAAGATTAAAGTTAAAATAGAAATCCTCACGATAGCATTCTAAGTTCCAGTCCGGCGCTATACATGTATAAGCATTCCACCTTGCCCACTGGTCCCCAGGCCTAGGCCCCAGGTCACTAGGACACAGGCTCTGCATCGGCAACAACCTCAAACATGGCATGTCACCACTGATCAGTTCACCGAGCGACTTGGGTGCAGAGCATTCTTCATCGCTTCACGCCTCGCTTTTGCATTCTGATGTCTTTGCCTGGGAGACAGACAGGCACAAGCATGCGGCAAGTGCAGCAAACGCAGCAAGCGCGCAGGCTTGGAAAGCGGCACGACCGCCACGGACATCGTGTTTCTTGCCTGGCAAATCATGTTTAGAAACTTCAAAGTACTATATAACTATGCCACAGAAACCCACAAATGGTGGTTCATCTAAGTTGTTTCTTACACAAACGCAATTATTCGCAAATATAATGTTTACTTCGCAAATCTTTCGCGAAAAAAGAATCGCGAACTCAAAAAAAAACATGAACAACATGAAAGGCTCTCAATGAACCTAAGCCTTATGTCGACCTTTTGAGCAATGCAAAACATAAAGGGTCAATGACAAACAAAAAACAGTTGCCAGCAAAAGCAAAAAACGATCTCAGAGAATTGCCCGTGTTTTTGAGGACCATTCGGTTGTTTCATGTGCAAGTGCTATCGTTTTGAAAAGCAAACAGAGTCGTTAAACAGAAAAATATTCGAGCCACGTGAAAGGTGAGGTGGCGAAAGCCAGCCGTCGCAAACCCAACAAGTTCGCAAGATTTGTTCAAAACGGTCCAAGGCGCATCTGCCATGCCCTGCTTTGTCCAGCTGGCTAGGGCCTGCTTTTCGGAACTACCATTTTTTGCCCCAGTCCAGCCTTCAAACATCTTCAAACAAAGTGCAAAAGCGCACCAACAAAAACTCCTCCTTAAGGCCCTTTAGGGCTTTTCTTCGACTCTCTGCATCTGGTCTCTCTGTAAATCACAGCGTCTTCGCATATCTGTTCAACAATTCGTTCTAGCCGTGCCCTACTTTCTCAAGGGCTAGAACCCGCGATGCTACAGTAGCACCCACTTTCTCATCAGAGGTGTCCTTTTTTGCCTCGCATAAATTGTAAATAAAAACTTTTCATACTGGAACAAACAATTTTGCAACAGCACTCCACAAAATGCCGTCATTCCCAGTTGATGATGCAAAAGCTGCTAAATCACTGTTTTGGCATCACTGGCATCACCAATGCTGTCGTAGCAGTAAATTTTGGAGACCAAATTCTTCGCTGGTGTTAAGACCCACTCCGCACCCCAATAAAACCCGTTCTGCTGTTTTCGCTGAGGCCAAAGCCAGTGCCATGGCTTGAGGTCTCTTAGATTCACGAGGAATCCTTCGCAGCTCCCCAACCATCCTGGCAACATGGTAGTAGCAGTTGCTCAGGTAAAGGTTGCAAACGAAGGTCAATGTCTTCTCTCAAAACATGGGGGTTCGGCTTGGCGACCTCCCTTGAAGCGGCCTTAACTTTGACACCTGGAGCCTCAGCTTTTGACTCTAACTAGTAGCTCCTGACATTACTACTAGGAACAAGAAGCTACTAGTAGCAAGAAGCTACTAAGTGAGTTGTACTGATTGTACTTTGCTATACCGCAGCTGCACTGTGAGCTGGGCATCTAGGTCCAAACGCTCAGGAATGGAGATGAAATTACCTAGGAAACGTGTCTGAAGGCATTCACCGATGAGTAGAGCACTGAATTTCTTAATAGCTCCCAGAAGTCATCGCAAGCTTGCCTTCGGCACTGGTACCTTTTGACTCTCCATGCCTGACACTCAAGTGCCAATGTCCGGTGAGTGTGGTTTGTTCAGAGCTTTCACTTGGATCCAAACAGACTCTTGGCTCTTCCCGGATATGCTCGTTCATAGACCTCTAAGGACCGAAAGGGCAAGCCCCACAGCAAACCATTGTCCGCCACAAACTCCATTCCTTGTCCATTTGCATCCAGTACTGGAGACCCTGCCATCACTGTGTGTGTCCACAGGAAATTCGAAGAAAACTAATGGGCTGGCCTCGAAGAACTCCATGGTCAATGGATACCTGAAAAACCATCTGAAAGACTGCCCTTCCTCCCTTGCAGTTCACACTAAGCAAACTGTCCCATGCTGAGACTGGAACGAGGGAGGTTCTAAGATTCCTGACCTTTCCAAGACGGTTCTCGCCGATCAAATCTGGCACATGAAATCCTTTGAGCTTCCCTGCCAGTTTCCACCGGTGCCAGAGATTCTTTCTTCCGGACAACCTGAATTCAGACTGTTGTCGTTCAGAAAGAAGGCCAAGATCTTTTGGCTGTAAGCTTCAGACTCTCTGTGTTGAAGAAGCGCGGGATAGCGGACTTTTCACTCGACCTTATGCACAACGCAAACTGTTCACTTGACTCATGACCCTTCTTCTTGTCTCACTCCTTCCCTGTCACATGTCCTTCCCATTGAGTGCTGCGCAAGACTTCGACTCTGGCCCCAGCTTCCTGCTTGCCTTAAGTGTAAATTGAGTCGTTTTTCTTCTTAATCCGCACTTGCGTGGGAACGCAACATACTGAACAAATCTGAACGATATCAGAATTATATCTATAATTCTATAATCTCCAGTATGTCTGAATGCCATGCTGAGCAACTTGAGTTCACGGAGATCATCCATTCTCGCGTACTGCAAATGGCAAATGCAAGTCAGCGTCAATCAAATGGCGGCAAATGGCGGCTGTGATCACTTGCGCTCAGCTGCTCTGGCCTTTGGTCTAGCCTCAACACCAAACACAGGCTTGGCAAGCTAAAGCTCTATTCTTGCATGTATAAAGCAATGCAAAAGCGGGACACTTAAAGCTGTGTAACTACTTCAAATTGAAGAAGCAACCCTTGACATCCCTAGACTTTGAACAAACTTGAGGCTATGGCTGCAGCTCCTCGCCCGGATCCTGCATCGAGAATCAATCACGCAGAACGCTTTGGTTGCCCTTTCAGATTTTGGAACCTTTCTTGAACTACATAATTGCAAAGACATATCATATTGTTTTACTTTTATTGCCATTAAGACAAAACAGAAAATGGGGACAGCACCTCGGTCATCCGCTGTCGCTGCTGCCGACACATGGTCAGGGTGTCCTGTCTCCACGCCTGCTGAAGTACTGTATCTACTAGAACTCAGATTCGGCCAAAGACAAACATCTCTGCCGCGCAACTGCTACATATCTCACCTCAAAGAAGTCATGGTGGAGCTTTACTATGACTGTGTCCAAACCTGGCCTCAGTGATCCCAACGGAACAGCGGTTTTACTCTAGAGAAAAATGTAGAGCCCCGGTGAACTTGGCTGCACGCTCCCAGAAGCATTCTGGAGGAGCATAGTAGAGTTCCTCAGGTCAACTTTGAAGGAACGAGAAGGGTGCTGACCAGATTGACCACTATGGGAGTGGCGCGGAAAAACCATGAAAAACCTACGCTGCTCTCTCATGACTGGAAGGGATGCCAGGCTGCGAGGTTGATGCAAAGGACATCTTGTTGCCCTCGTAAGAAAATTGGAAAAATTGTTGCTGCACAAAAACAAACCCACAGACCTAGCATTCCAATCTTGTCAATTCCATAGTTTGCGGGGCTTCAATTGGAAGTTGATAGGGTGCTATGTTTGTTGAGCCACCTGGACGAGCCACGGACGTTGGGTGTTCCCTGGCAATTTGGCAACTTCGTGGTATTTCATCCAAAACAAATCTCTGGCAACTTGAATTTGTGGGGTTAGCAAGAGTGTTGTGGTGGCCATGGTTAGGCCCGGCTTTCAATTAACTACAAAAAATCCGCTTACTTGGCACAAAGCAAAGCACTTGCCTCAAAATCTGCACTTCAAGGTCCACAAAGTACTGCGCCTGCCGCAAAATCTGCACTTCAAGGTCCACAAAGTATTGCACCTGCCACGAAACTTGCACTTCACAAGGTCCACGAAATACTGCACCTGCCACGAAGGTCAACAAGAAAGTAGTGCACCTGCCACGATTTGTGAAAACCAACCACATGTCCAAAATTCTCGATTCACTGCACCTGCGACGAAGTCAGAGCACGCCGAAGACCACCACCATGTCCAAAGTCCTGCGCCTGCCACAAAATCTGTACATCGACATCAATCTGCTCTGATTTCCTGCGCCTGTCACGAAGTCGGCTTTAGACCACCAAAGCACGAGGTTTCCTTGGCGCCTGCATGAAAAGTGATCACCAAGTCCAAAAACGCGCATGGCACCACAACGAGAGCGCGCCTCCGTCAAGCACCGTCCCGCGGCCAGCATTTCGCGCGACCCTGCGCAAAGAAATTGCATTTGATCGTCTCAGAACGGAACTTTTCTGCGAGCCTGCGCGGCCAAAACGCGCGGTCCCAGAGAGCGTACCCTGATCGAACCCAGGCTTTTGCACTTACCGCAAGAACCCCTCAGTGACACACTGTTTGAGAAAAAACACTACAAACAAAAACGCAAAAAAAGTCCAACCCCGAAAAGAGCTTCGAATGTGGGCCAACTGAGTTCGTGGGCCAGTTTCTTCTGTTGTTGAAGAAATCGGAAAGAATCGGTCGCGGCACGCAGGAAGAGGGAGCACCCTATCAGGTTAGTGGGAGCATATTATATTGTCTCGTGGCAGGCCCAGATGCCACGGAAAGAAGCAGAAGATAACACTAGTCCTTCACTTGAGAGACTCGAGAGATGTTAAGGCAAGGGCAGTCAAGGATAAACGGAGCGCCGCCAGACGCAAACAAACAGTAAATATTTATTTGGTGCCATTAGTGGACCGGTGTGTGGATATACCCTGGACTAATTGAAAATTATTCTGTATACTATTTAAATGTTTTTACAACATGATTCTTGGTGCAAAGTGCTCACTGGAATAGTTAATCGAATTAATCGATAATGCAGAAAAACAGCCACAAACCACGAGCGCCAGCCAAAAAAAACAAGCCAAGCCGCATCTTATCTCGCACTGAGTCCATGTATGAGCTTATTCAAGCTGAAAGCACATGAGTAGACCCTGCCACATCTCAAACGAAAACAAGATCAACAAACATATCATACATCCAAGAAATTTTAAGTGTAGAAAATGCACAGACCTGTCAATCTGCAACACTCTGGGCGCCAACCTGGATATAAAACCATGTCAGGCCAAAATATATCATTTTCTCAGGAAATTTATGTGTAAAAAACTTACAGAGCTGTCAGGCTGAAAGAAATGCTGGCGCTAATTCTTGATCTAAAATCAGATTAGCAAAGACAGAATACCCAGAAGTCAAGGTTTTCCAGCTCAAGAAAAATGTGAAGTCCATCAGAAAACTGACGTGTATAGCGCGTATAAAGCTGCCAAGCTGAAAAATGCAGGCAATAATTCTCTATCTAAAATCAGATCGGAAAAGTCAAACCCAGACGTGGAGGCTGGCAGATCAAGAGAATATAGAGTTTATCAAACAACTGATATGTAAAGAACATAAAGAGCTGTCAAGGTGATGAAATGGAAGCGCAAATTCTTCATCTAGAATCAGATCAGAAAAGACAGGGTTTCCAGATGTGGATGCGTTCCAGGTCAAGAAAAGTATGATCATGTGTATTAGACAATGTTATGAACATCAAATGTAAAAAACACCAAAAACGGGATAACACGCTGTAGCTTGCGGTCGTGGGATTGTTGGATGTTGTTGGTGGTTGTTGCCGCTTGTAGGTTGGTGCGCGGGGTTGACCCCTTGTCCGGGTATGGAAACTTGGTTAAGTATTAGTTATTCCAGGGGTCTCTGACAGCCTGGCTCCAAGCTTTCAGGATCTCAGGTTCCAAGGTAAACCCATGAAAACTTGTAGTAGTTTGTGGAAGTGTTGTTGTTTGCGATGGGTTGGTGGGATGGGAAATGTGTGAACTTTTACTTATTCTAGTGGTCTCTGACTTGCTGACTCCCCTCAGAATAATTCTGTGGATGAACAAGGCCTTCCTTCAAGCAATCACCTACTACAAGGTTGAAGTATCCCAGGTCCCAGGGCAACATCGAGAAAAAATAAAAGAAAACCTGTTGTAGTTTGTGGTCGTTTTGTTATTTGTGGTTTGGTGTGTGGAGGTTTACCCCTGGTCTGGTTGTGGACATGGTATTGAAATTTTAGCTGTTCCAGGGGTCTCTGACACCCTGTGACCCATCAGAATACTTTTGTGGATGAACCAGGCCTTCCTCCAAACAACCACCTATAAGGCTCTAGCATCCCAGGAACCCAAGGTCCGCCCCAAGAAAACATAAGAGAACTAGCAAGATAAACCAAATAAAACAAGAATCACAGTATTCCACCACCCCACCCCGCAATTGTTGGAACAGGTCCACAGCCCCTCGAATTTTGTTTTGGAGTCCTTGCTTTCCCGAATGCGTAGCGAAGAGTTCTCGTTTAACTCTTGGGGGTCTGGGGGTAGAGCCTTGTTCGCGACCCGTTGTTTCTATGTTCGCAACCGTCCGCAACCGTTCGCAACCGTTCGCCGTTCGCAGCCGTTCGCAACCGTTCGCAACCGTTCGCAGTGGAGCGCTAAGGCGCTGCCATTGGGGGAAGCTTTTGCAAGTGACTTTTCATGGATGTGTCACGTGTCAGTTTGCGACGCTATTCCATTGTGATTTGCATGAAAATGACATGTCGCGTAAGAGCGTGATGGATGGGAGTGTGCTCAGAACGGGTCGAAATCATTCCAAACGTGTGGTGTGGTGCAAATTTTGTTCAAGCTGCAAACTCACATGAGATGATATTGTCACTTTTCGTGGCAGGCGCAGGACTTTGTGCGGGTTTTGAGGCGTGGAAGTGCGATTCTCGTGGCAGACGCAGGGAATCGTGAGGTCGCGAGGTGTGACGGAGGTGACATTTCGTGGCAGGCGCAGTACTTTGCGCGCGTTAGACGTGTGGACGCGGAAAGATTCGTGGCAGGCGCAGGGAATCGTGAGGTGGTGAGTTGTGGTAGAGGTGAATGTCGCTGTCACATTGGGATTGGCGTGTTGAGCGGATGTTGTTTGGAGGGGTTGGAATCGCGAAACTGCTTGGCAGGGCTGCGTGATGTTTCCGCTTGACTTTTGGAGGAAGTCTCCTACAAAATGCTCGTTCTGCAGACTTTGACATGTGAGTTTTGGAGGAAGTCTCGTACGAAACGCTCGTTTTGGAGACTTGACACGTGACTTTTGGAGGAAGTCTCGTACGAAACGCTCGTTTTGGAGACTTGACGTGTGACTTTTGGAGGAAGTCTCGTACGAAGCGCTCGTTTTGGAGACTTGACGCGTGACTTTTGGAGGAAGTCTCGTACGAAACACTCGTCTTGCAGCCTCGAAGCGTGACTTTTGGAGGACGTCTCGTACGAAGAGTGTCCGACAAGAGTGTCCTATAAGACTGTCCCACAAGAGTGTCCTACAAGAGTGTCCCACAAGAGTTTCCTGCAAGAGTGTCCCACAAGAGTGTCCCACAAGAGTGTCCTACAAGGGTGTCCTACAAGAGTGTCCCACAAGAGTGTCCCACAAGAGTGTCCTATAAGAGTGTCCCACAAGAGTGTCCTACAAGAGTGTCCCACAAGAGTGTCCTACAAGAGTGCCACACAAGAGTGTCCTACAAGAGTGTCCCACAAGAGTTTCCTGCAAGAGTGTCACACCAGAGTGTCCCACAAGAGTGTCCCACAAGAGTGCCGTACAAGAATGTCCTACAAGAGTGTCCCACAAGAGTGTCCCACGAGAGTGCCCCACAAGAGTGTCCTGCTAGAGTGTCTCACAAGAGTGTCCCGCAAGAATGTCCGACAAGAGGGTCCCATAAGAGTGAGTGTCCCACAAGAATGAACCGGCTGCGTCTCTTTCTATACACAGTGGATTGACGTGTGTTTGCATTCGGGTTCGTGGGCTCCATCTTTTGTTTTGGACCGAGTCCATTGGTCATTGGTTCATTTAAATCTTACTAGCTGAAAAAAATAATCAGCAAAATAGTGATCAATCGTCGTTTGTGTTTTAGTCTTGCTTTTGAAATCTCCGATTGACATACCTCTTGAATCTTACCAAATGTTACTCTTGGTGGCAATATATGTTTAAATATTTTGGTCGCTGCGAAAGATTAGAAAAACTAAATTGTCGTTTGTTCTTTGTTGGTTTTGAAATCCCCGATTGACATACCTCTTGAACCTTACCAAAAACTGCTTTCGGTACTAACCGTTTAAAACATATGTTTGTAGCTGAGAATATAATCCACCAAATACTCATCACAATTTGTACGTTGTTGCTTTTTGTTTTTTGAACCTTTGTGCGATCTACGGCTGAAAAGCTTTCCACTTTTCACATATTGTTAACATAGAATTATCAAATTTTACAGCCGAAGAATCTCTCCAGGCAATATGTGATGTTTTCATGCCTTCAAAAACAACTAACTTTGCAATAGGCTTTTGAACCTTCGATCTTGCAGACCTAAAAAAATTAATACGTTTTACAATATGGGTACTACTTTTTTTGTTTAAGAAAAATTATTGGCAATTCAGAAAAATATTCCGCGCAAATGGCAACGGTCCCCCCCAACCCCCCAAGCCCAAAAATGATTCCAATAAAATTACGCCAAAAGAACTATTCCGTGATCCCGCATAACCATTGGAATAATTTCACAAGGCACGGAATACGCAAATTTCTATGTTCGGATAGAAGGGCTCACCAGATGCAAAACTCAATGGGTCGGCGTTGAGGGGGGGCGCGAATACGAATGGCGCTCTGGCGCTTTGAGCCGGGCTGTTGGCGCTGTGGTGTGGTGTGGCACTGGAGGGGTCTTGCCAAAGGGATCTCGGGAGCGGTACTTGCGAAGGGGGTCTCACAGAAGGACCTCGCGCGTGAGGGCAGTCTTGCCCGCAGCTTTGCAGCTTCTGGCAGCTCGCAGCTCCGGTCGTATTTTCCTGACCTTCCCTCGCCATGAAATGGAAAAGTCAAAAAGGGATTTCAAGCTTTTACTCAGAGACACGTTGAAATTCTTTGGTTTAAGAGCAGCACATCAGGAGAAACTCCCTGAAGTTCCAGTGCGCGAAGCCTCAGTCGAGCGGCTTGAGCTGCCACTTACTGATTGGAGCAGCTCAAGCGCACGAGCGCGGAGACTCCACCTCAATTTTCTCATCAAAACCTCAAACAACAACAGTTCGCAACACCAGATTTGAATCACCAAAGTTTGCAAACCTGTTACAGTAATTTCTGATTTGATCTCAGCAAAAGGCCGTCAAAGTCCTCCAATGTAAGCAAAGGTACAGCCTGCAACAAATTGCTTCTCATTTTGGACTCTTGTGGGTAGGAAACTCAGACCTCCGGTGCCAAAGCAAGTGCAGGACCTTCATAAATGAGCTGTTTCCTTCGAAAGAATTCACGCAATACTGCTTAGTTGTCTGAAGTCCTTCTCACAGCATCACTCCTCGAACCAAGCTTTTGGTTGTCATGCATGTTGACAGTGGCCTAGTATTGCACTTCATGAAGCAATCTCTTCAGCGTAAGAGGCGCCCAAACTTTGCTGCCCGAGAAACACCATTTGGCATTTGCTTCAGAAAGCGCCCATCGGAGAAAATCTGCATAAATTCATCGCAAGCCACGATTAGCAGCACGATCAAAGCATGAAACATCTTGGTCTCTCAGCTCCCTCAACCTTGCAAGCCTGCCTGGAGATTGTTTAAACACAAGTGGTGTCAGTAGTGTGGGTGGGTGGTCAAGTCTTTATGCGCCTCAGGTCGATCAAACAAGTCTGCCAAAGCCTCACAGAGGAAAAGCACATGAAAACATCGCAACAGTCAGTGACCAAGGAATGATATATTGCAACAAGGTATGTAGCATGTAACATTTGGCAACTGGCCCGAGAATGCTAGAGATACAAACTGATTGCCCAGAAGGTTCTCTGGCAAGGGTCCATCCCTTGAAATCATGATATAGATATTGCCAGCAATTGGTGATGCATCAAAAAAGAAACCCTGGCCTTCTTCACATCACCCAAAGACACGTGGGACGGTACTGTGATCAGAATGGCCTGAGACTTTACTCGCAGTCTTGGAAAATTCGGAGCTGACGATTGAACGACCAAGAACCATTAGGGCCTCCTCTTCTGATGCACCAAGGGTCAGGACCGACACAGTCACCGGCTGGCTCTTGGGCTCCTACCAGGCTCAATTCACGAGGCTGTGAGCAGGCATCACAATCTGCTTGGCCTCCATGTTGATTTGGGCCACACAAAGGACCTATCAGCTGAGATGATTTCAAAGGATATTCCACATCGGTTTCGCAATTTCTAGGTCTTGGCACAGTCTAAGAAGAGTGGAACAACTCCGAGTAGAGGGTCACCATTGCTGCGTTGTAGCAGTTTCTAGCTTTGCTATAAAGTCTCTGTGTGTGTGTCCTATGTCCTGCGAGCATGACTTCAGCATGTCTACAGAATGGTATTCTCACTCACTTGTCTCCATTCTGGTACTTTGATTGGATGATAAAGCAGGCTAAGGCTTGAAGCGAAGCAGTCAGGCCTTAAGCCATGACCACAACACTCTTGAGCATGGACACATCCGGAAGCTTGACTTTTTGCATAACTGAATGGTTTCAGCTGGGCCAAGACTCAGTACTGTTGATGTCAAAAACAGCTGGACACTCTATATACGCCCCCCCCGGTACCTACCTTTTGTGTGGCTTTATCAGATGTAGGCCGCAGAGTAGGTCGCAGATGTCTGATATAATGAAAAATATCTATCTTAAAGTGTTTATGTCAAAAGCTTTCTTCTGGGTTCTTGGGAATGGTCACTTCATGTCACTTCTATATATGCATTCCGCATGGGAGTACCATATAATATATATACATTACATGTGTACATCGCTACTGTTCAGAGTACTTCCCAGATTTCGCTCTGCGTACTCTCTCCATCTTTTTCGCCGACACTCTCTGCAGTTATGGTCTCTGCACGTCGCCCTGACGTTGTTGCGTTGGAAACTCACAAACTGTGAGCAGTGTTCA